GGGGAAGTCACAGAAATAACAGAAAAAAAAAGTATAATAATAGGGTATGTTATACCCTCATTTTCAATTTCTATACAAAAACTGGGTGCTGATATTTTCCACTATCATTTTCAAAAGATTTGAAATGAATGGTTAATACATTTTGGTCGATGCATAAGATCAAAGTGCCAGATGTACTCTTTTGTTAACAGTTTGACGTTTGTCATTATTCCATCTGCTGAGCAGGTTGCTCGAATTGTGTCTTCATTCTGTTACTAACGGTGACACAAGTTTAGACAACACAATAATGGAACATAAACTTAACCGAATGAACATGTAAGTATAAACAAACTATGAGATCTATATAATAATAGGTTTATTTTCATGAAAGGTACTAACATTCATTTGATATCATTACATTTCTCAATTTACGTACCCTTTCATATGTCAAAATTCAAAAACTATAACTACTTCTCCGGCTAATACCACGTTGGATATTGAATTATAGACAGACCCATGTTACAATTTTGGCTTCGAGTGATTAGTTGAAAGTAAGGAGAAACGAAGATATTACTTTTGAATGTATAATATGCGAGATGATTCATCTCAGATAAATAAAATATATGATTTCAAGTGTGAGATAGAACATCAGTAGGTACTCGTATCAGTAGTGTGATTTGTCCAATCCAGATATCCTTAAAAAAGCCAGACGGGGTCATTTCTATTGATATAAATTGAGTTTGTCTGAAATACACAGCCTTATTCTAGACGAATCGCCAAGCAATATTGTATTTATTTGATCCATTATCTACGTTCTAAAAAAGATTTCATAGCAATAACACTCAGACGCGGATAATGTTCAATGAAAAATTAATGTCGATTCGAAAAATGTTCTCGCGATGTTTCATCGGAAATTATTACGAGGAATGGTGGGAATTCGTTTGGAGTTTTTCCGCATATAACAGAAAAATTCTGTCTCCGATTCCTCGAAAGAAAAAACCGACGAAAGGAATCTTATAATCGCTAAATGCTGAACATTTCTGTTAGAAGACGAAAACAAGGTGACGTGATGGCGTGCACAGTTGGAAAAAAAGGACAGAATTTGAATATATTTTTTTCTCTCAGAACGTAGTTACGAGCACATATATTTGGGCAATAAAAGGAATGTTACATTACCGTTTGCGTTTCAAGAAGGGGTTACATTGCCATGTATAATATTCTTCAGCATATTCTTAACGATATGCATTTGTTTCAAAATATTCTAGAAGGAGCAATTACGAGCTTTTTCACCTAATTAAGACCCCCTTTCGAGACGGTCCGAGCTAATTGCGAAAGCTACTCGAAACATTTTCGAGGTTCTTTTCCCTCAGCCCCGAAAAACATATAATTTAATTAAGTAACTCGCATTCCCCTTTTAATATATTCTCAAAGGTACTATTTAGTTTCCGTATACGTTAGTGTGGGGACTGCAAGTAAATTTCAGTGTAGACTTCTTGCTTTTACGTAAACAATTTCCTAATTCAGTTCTACGACCTCTGATGTTTGCCTATTCCATAGTTTTAGTAGTCTGCAGTTATTTTCACCGATTCTCATGAATAATTGAGATGTGTAGTTGTAGTTGTAGTGTATCTATACGGATTCAAGAGAGGTTTCATTAATTTTCCACAGGTCTTTGTACGAGGTCTGTTCAAAAAATTATATGGATTTCAAAAGTAGTTTCCCTCAAATATAATACACCAGAAGCAGTTCTGATAGGTACTTTTTGGTATGCCCTCGAGCTTTCTCAGCGAGTCGGTTGTTATCTCTTCAATCGTCGCAAAAAGCCGTCCTCTCATGGCTCTCTTCGACCTTGGGAACAGGAAAAAGTCGCATGGGACCAAATCTGGTGAAACGGTAGCCGAGGCATCATTTCGATGTTGTTTTCGGCCAAAAAATTACGAGGTGCATTATTGTTATACAAAAGCCATGAATTAGTTTTCCACAATATCGGATGTTTTCTTTGTATTGCTTCTCGCAAGTGGCGCATTACTTCAAGATAATACTCTTTATTGAACGTACGATCATGTGGCAAGAATTTCTGATCCACAAGTTAACGGCAATCGAAGAAAACAATGAACAAAACCGTGAAATTTGATGGAACTTGACGTGCTTTTTTGGTTTTGGCTTTTCTGGGCTCTTCCATTGCGACGATTGGACTTTGAGTTCGATATCATAAGCATAAACCCATGATTCGTCGCCCTTTCAAGCAAATCAGGATGGCCGTTGACGTTATTCAACAATAACTGTGCGATAGACATGCGACCACTTGTGAACTTTGTTCTGACTCAGAGTACAATCACCGTATGTCGCTGTCAATATTTCAAGTTTTTTTGAGCAGTTAGCTCCATTTCTCAAACGAAATTTGAGGCAAAACACTTTTAACTTCAATGCCTCTCACCAACAAACCAAACATGTTAAACAGCTAAAACTGTGAAAATATGTTCGAGACGAATGTATATAGTCCGCGAAATTTTGACTTTCACCTTATTTTTTCACCAGACATCGTATGTTGTAACTACCTCCCAAAACTGAACGAATTATTGTAATTTGAAATTTGAAGACTGAAAGAATCTAAGATAGTAATAATGTGTTTCTATACCAAATCCCTGACAAAACGTTTCCAAGGAACTGAAAGCTCTATAAGGGCTAGTTATTTCAGTTAACTTTACCATCACTATATCGATTGAACACCAAGATACGTACCTGAGTATAGTTGAAGTAAACGATACTGTGCATATTTAAGTTGCCGGTACTCTCAAAGGCCAAAAAACCAATACATAAAAATGAACCTGCAGCGAAACTGTCCACGTGGACTGTAGACTTGGCGGTTCGTATTGGACAATTTTTACTAACCGAGTTTTATAATTGGCTGAAGAGTCATAAAATTAAATTTGAAGTCATGTTACGGTGTCGAATATAAATCGGGAATGCGGGGATGGTTATCTCCGTCGTGTTCGGTTCAGGAATTGTTCGCGATTTGAGTGTTGAAATTCGATATTGGTGCAGTTATAATTTCTTGAAATAAAAGTTATCTGTTCAAAATGTGGCGTCCTTGGACAAGTACTAATAGTAATAACGAATGTGATAACAACGCAGACTTTTTCCAGTGTAATGATTCCAATAGCGATGGTGAACAATGCGAAAAAGAGATATCAGTGAATAAGTTTTGGATGCATTTGAATATTGAAACACAGAGAGTGTGTAGTTCTATAGTGAAAACTTTCAAAACATACGTTCATATATAGTTTCTTTCTCAAAAAGGATTCAAAATAATTTATTAAAGAACTCCCTGTGTAGTGATGAAAGGATAGTAATATACCTTGATGTTTTTTTTACAATTATTTCTTCTGAAACTGTCTCATATCCAAAAAACACATACGTGTTCAAGCATATCCAAACTACTCGAGTTGTCCTAATAGTCTAAGTATTCCATCACAAGGTTAGGAACCCCAGAATTCAACAAAATCAATATCTCACCTCCTTTTCTAAATAATTCAGCTTGCACACCGAAACGGCAACAGAAAACAGCCACATCATGTACTCTTCCACGTGTAAATCCGTACCCAACATCCCTCTCGCCCAACCCTCAATAATTCAGAGGCAACTCGAAGAGGCGAATTGGATTCCCTCGTCCAAACGAACCGTTTCCAATACAAAGAATAGAAATTGCGTCTGGATCGTAACATACTCTTCGGAACTCAAAATAGGCATTGTAGTTTTTGTGTAATTCAATGTTCGTATCAAAGTAGTTGTTCAGAAAGTATTTCTTCTTTCGGGTAATTCAATGTTCATATGAAAGTAGTTGTTTCGGAAGGACCAGTATGTTAACAACATTTTTTTCAAATACAATAAAAACTTTTAACTTCAAAATTCAGGCCTCCTAATGGAGTCGCCGTTGAGTACCTCACTAGCAGATATTTTTGAAGACAACTTAAAAAACAGGCATATTCTGAATAATGCCTCATCACAGAAACACATTTTATTCCAGTGTGGACAAAATGGAACAATCTGGAGTTTATTAGCTCAAACGTCTGCAGTGTAATAAGGTTCATGTGGGACTATGTGGCCAAAATTTCTCAAAACGGTATGCCGAACACGAAAGGTCCTTGAAACTAGGAATGCTATCACAAGTTCTTGAATCTAAACGATACGGACATTTTGCACTATGCAGTCGAGGGTTGGAAATTCAATTAATTGGAATCCTTGGAAATTCATAAGCATAAAAGTTGCGAATGTAACCTACTAATTGATCAAATCGATCTGCTCTACTCGCTGGTTTTCAGATTAGCGTACCCACATTGTCATAAGTAAACGAAATTCAGGTAATAAAGTCATTAAGGACCTTCGGTTATTACCTATATTGGTGTTAATCACTTCGGTTCATTGCATTTGTTTGAAAATGTCGTTATAGGACAAAATTGACGAAACGTTGGTTACAAATACAAGTTATACAAGAACATAGGAGATTTTATTTCTTATTTTCTTTATTTTCTTTTTCATGAAAAATTACATATAGAACAGGATTTCTGAAGGTGAATCTCTAAAAATTGGATTTCAATCAACTTATTTTTGTATTATTCTAAATTTTTCCAAATATCATGACCAACAAAAAGTAATACATCTGCACATATATACATACACATATCATTTGTAAATGAAGAAATACAGAAAGGAAAGGAGTTATCTCCATAAATACTTTTTCAAATTTTTCAAAATGAGCTTTGAATTTTGATAGATTCACAAATTTTGCTGTTCTGATTCAACATTCTACTCATTCTGTAATATATATTGAAATAAAAGGCTTTCAGCCAATTTACTTACGGGAAGATATGAAAAAAGTTGACCGTATGTTGAAAAGGAGTTGAATCATCTGAAAACTAGCATTTTTTTTTACTCAACCCATTTTTCCTCTGTACCCTTCAGAGTGGTGATATTGCTTGTCATGTTATTTGAAAAATATTCTGTAATAATAGCTCACTTACTCGTTTTCTAGTATCGAAGAATCAAAGAAGATGGATTTCTGAAAAAAAAAACAAACAGTATGAGACACATTTTTTGTAATTCAGATAGCAAAATGTATGTATTGAAAGAATAAAACTGATTAGCCGAAGAATTTAAACTACATCATTTTGGAATTGAAGAAGTAATCTCGAAATTGTAATTATTATGAAGAATTCAATCTCCTAATTGAAAATTCACTACAAATAATCTCTAAACAGAGTAAACATACAAGAAACGTCTCATTTGGTACCTCTATTTTATAATAAACCTTTTACTCTTGATCGTGAAAAGTTTACCAGAAGGATCCCTTTCCTAGCCAATCCGATCTGGATTTCCGTTATTATTGATCTTTATTGTTATTACAAAAGACAGTTTCACACCACCCTTCATGAGTAGCCGTCTCGCTAACCACTGCTTTGCTGAAATATATGCATACGCAGGCTACAGAGGAAACGATACTAAAGTTCACTAATTAGTACACTAATGTTCTGTGGACGATATTTATATGTATCATTCAGATAAAACTGAATATCAGCGCAATAGTGCATTATTGCAGGGTCTTATGAAATTGAGAATAAGACAGACAATGAAAGTCCTGATATTGAACCTTGAGATACACCATATTATACTTTAATTCTCGTAGGTGTTAATTTATCATTGGTTCTCAAGTAGCATCACTGCATCTCTAGAGAAGCAAAGGTAATTCACAACAGCAAGAAGGAGCTGATGATTCAATCAAAAACTTTGGAATGATATTTGGATATAAAATTTATTATTAACTATAAATGTATTCAAATTGTTCACAACTTTAAGAAGCGTGGTTACACAATTATGACTGGATCTGAATCCCAATAGATGAGATTGCAATATATCGAAGATTTAAGGCAGTTTTACTGTCAGTCAATGAATCGAATATTCACACGCAGTTGTGGTTCAAAATATTTACAAAAATGTTCTATGGGTTTCACAAAATGCTAGTAGGATTGAAACTGCTCAAGCTTCAGCTCAAATATTGGTTTTCCTTCTAGCCTACTGGACCTGTCCCATCTATACTTTTGAGTGAAAGATATATATAGAGTATATTTCTTTCTCAATTTTGATGACATGAATCTATTCATCTAGTATCAAAAAAATGTATATCAGGAAGCGTAAACACCTTAGTTTGCAATGAAGTTGGTAAAAATAGTTACCATATGAGTAAACACACGTACCTTACAACTAACCTTAAACATGTTCCCAGTTTGTCTGAAAAATTAGACTAATTGGTTACAGATATGATCTGATGAAAACTTTCAGAACTCTTTTGACAAACTTAACCAGTAAACACGATTGAAAAAACGAAAAAGTATAGTCACAATATACCTTGTTCCTGCGGCAAAAATGATATAGCTGAAACCTCTCAGGTGTGACAAAAAATAAACATCGTTATACTTCTCCCAGCGATATTTCCATATCTGTAACCAGTCCAACTAGTACTTGGCGTTTTTCTCTGCAAAATAATTGTTCACGAAGGTGATTACCTCTTCATTTGACGAAAATCTCTATCCTCCTAGCGCAATTTTCAGAAGATGAAACAAAAAAAAGCCGCTTGGGGCTAGATCTGATGAGTGAGGTGGATGGTCAAGCAATTCAAACCGTAATTCGTGGATTTTTGCCATGGCAAATGCTGAGGTGTGAAACGGTGCATTGTCTTGGTGGAACATAATTGAAGTAACTCCATTACTACCCTAAAAACAGTCGCCATCACTCTCCCAGTCGAAAAAACAGTTTTTGCTTTTCTTGGAGCCAGCCGGTTTTCCCTTTGCACTTTACTGTTTGTACTGTATTTTTGTTTTGGGCGTATAATGGTGTATCTAAGTATGATCTACAGTAATTGCTCGGCGCCAAAACTTGGATTTATTGCGTCTAAACTGCACCAACAGAGCGTTGGAAATGTTCATTCGAACACGTTTTTGGTCTAAAGTGAGCAAACAGGGCATCCAACGCTCGGACAGTTTTCTCTTGCTCAAATGTTGATTTGATATGTGACAAACATGTTCTTTTGGCATGTTTATAACCTCTTCTATATCCCTTACTTCAATTCGGCGGTCGTCTAGCACCATTTGGTGAATTTTGGCGATATTTTCGTCGAAAACTTCGCCAAAATTTTTGGACGTCCCGAAAGTTCGTGGCAGTAAGAGCTCTCCCAAGCTCTTACGGCCACGTTTAAATTCAGCTGCTCAAATTTTTACTATGGTTTATGATGGTGCAGAGTCTCTATACACAGAATCCAACTTATCCTTGATTTGCGTAGGCGCAATGCGTTTCAAAACAGTAACTTTTTGGGGCGAACTTCTCAATTTGCCTTTATAATAATTCAGGAGATTATTCTGTATACCGTTCAGATTGTGTGAGAATAAACACCCAAAACCCAATGAGAAACCTCCTATTCGGAAGAAATAGTTTCCAAAGAATAATTCTACTCAATTGGTTGCGGAAAATCTCCACGAGAGGACACTTCCAGAGCCAATCCGCACTGGATTTTCCTTATCTTTTTGTTATTTCGAACAGCGACCTTTCCTAGTATGCGGAAAGGAGGTTCAACTCCACCCTTCACGAGCAGCCGCCTCTCTGACCACTGCCGCCGCTGAAATATATGCATATCAAATGCAGGCCCGGTCCCGCAGGCTACAGAGGAAACGCTACTAATAAGGTACAACACCTCGATGCCATAATTCATACGGCAAGTTGCCTAATTTCTCTTTACGGACCGGAAGTCCGGATATATTTCATCACCTGGGGGTAGTTCGGGGGTATGGGAGATGACGGACGGCGCGCGATATTCAATTTACGGTCGTGATCCTCTCGGCTAATCGCTGATAATTGTTGTCGACTGATTGCGAGGGAAAAAGGAAAATTTGAAGGGTTGAGTGTTCGTTTAATTGTGACAGTGGCCATTTCGAAATTTGTGGTTTTTCTGTTGAGAGTTTGCGGTGACATTTTTAATGGATTTTCCACATTTCAAACGAATCGAATCAAATTTTCGGGAGTCTACTCATGAATTTATGTTTATTCAACAACGTGGGTATTGATAACTCTTTATATGATTGGCAAGTTAGACTAACTATTCAAGTGAAGAAGTTAAAATGATGGAAACAGAAAATTTTCTCACGAAGTATCTCTTTACCAGAAAAGAATTCTATAGGTTTCCAAAGAACATTCATTTGGATCTATGAGCATAACGCTTTGGAATCTATCACAAACTCAAACTTACTCGAACAAAAGCCGAATTTTTATGGTTCTGGAGCATAATAAACATGTTCGAGCCAACATGTCGCAGATACTAAAGAATCTTAGACTCACAAGCCACTAAATTTGATTACCTAACACTAATCTGTTCCAAATCATGGTGTGCTAATCATCTAGCAAAACTAATTCATATGGAAACCAATTCCTAAATTGGGCAAATCATTGTTAATACGGAATGGTACCTCAATGATTTATTTTATAGGAAGTCCCATAACCAAATTTGCAAAATCCATATATATGTACGTATACAGTGTGTGAAAGCCAGATGGAATAAATGCATTATTTCGGTTACGGTACATATTTTAACAAAATCCCGAAACACATCAAATTTAAATAATAATTTGACATACTTCAGCGGAAAAATTCTACCCTAACTTCATCCCCCATCGAGTGACAGGTACAACCCCCAATTTTTTAAATAGGAAGTATAGGGTTGAAGGATCTCTTCATTCTATTTCAAGTTTATTGCAGCAATTAACATGAAATAAATTAAAATCATGTGGTTGCCAAAATTCGCTAAAATACACTCAAAAGTGATTGCATATATTCAAAACTTATTTCATGTTAAAGTATTGATAATAAGAAATTAGGCAAAAACAATAGTTTTTTTTAGGTGGTATCCTTCAAAAACTGTAAATAATTTCCGCGACAATGTTGGTTTAAAACGCCTTGTCAACTTGTTTTGTATCTTACATTAAGTTCAAAGTTCGTTAACTTCAAGTCTGACAAATGGTTAGATTAACGGAAATGCATAAAATAACAGTTTTACAAATGATTGGTAACGGAGATGAAACCCGAACACAACAGGAATTTACTAATTTACTGCCCATATCTTGAAGAACAATAAGCAAAATAGAGAAGCAGTGACTAGATGTGATGCTTGAGTTTGAGAAAAACCCACATACATCGAGTAGACAGGCATCCACTATATTGAATGTTAGCCATACATCGATAGTAAACAAATTGAGGGAAAATAAAATATATTCCTATGAAATGATACCTACTCAGGAGCTCATGGAAGACGATTTCGATAGAAGAACTTATTTTTGTGAGCAAATGATGGACATGTTGGATAACAATATCATCGAATTAGAAGACGTTCTGGTGAGTGTATTTTTTCTCTTAACGGTCATGCTAATCGGCAAAATTGCCGCTACTTATCAACGGAAAATCCTCACTGGATGAGAGAAGAACACACGCTATAAACCATATCATCGGTCATCTTTTCATTGAGGACAATAATTGTTTGGCACTATTTCAAAATGATGTCATTCCAAGTTTAGCAAATTTATATCCTTATTCAGGAAACCCTCAATTTCCAGTTAGTACGATATGGTTTCAGTAGGATGGAGCACCATCACATTACCAAGTTAATGTCCGGCAATACCTCGATACAACATTTCCCAATCGGTGGATAGGGAGGCGAGGATCGTTTGAATGGCCAGCGCGATCACCTGATCTTCCATCATTAGATTTTTTCATGAGGATATGTGACGAGCAATGTGTACAAAATTAAACATTCAGATTTGAATGACTTGAAAGAACGAATAATGCTTGCGATTAGGTCAATCACGCCTGATATGTTAAATAATGTTAGAAGGCAGGTTTATTTGAGATTGGGATGTTGTCAAGACGTTCGCGGGGAACATTTTGAATATCTACTTCGTTAACATTCTTATTCTACATTTCATTACGTTTTGCATTACATTTTAGTTTTTGAGTTTATTTTAT